TTCACCTGAAACTCATCAGACTGAAGAAGTCTCTTGGAGGAGAGACAAATTGTTTCACTAAAGAAGAACCCATCCAGAGGACCTACTTATTTTTTTTTCTTTTTGAAGTTAGCTTTATAAAAACAAGGTTGGAGAAACGGATCGACAGGAGAGTGAGGAAAGTGAAGCTCTGAACTTCTCTCTCGCCCGCGCAGGTGTGAGCTGCAGCCGCACACGAGCCGCATCCCCGTCCGCAGGATGGGCCCCCCGCTCCCGCACGGCGCTCACACGTCTCCCACCTCGCCTGGAGATCAGGAGGTGTGGGCCAGCATGAAGGTGTGGAAGCTGCTCAGACCYGACCTCCACAGACACCGGCCTCTGTCAGGCACGTCCCGCTCAGCTGCCACCTCCGAGGCCACGTGGTTTGGTTTTGTTAACTGAAAACAATATTCACAACTGAACGTTTTCTTTTATGAAATGTCAGGAATTTTTTTTTTAGTAATTCCAATTTTCCTTTAAAATAAAATTCTGCACAGAGAAAGTGAGTTGCATGATTTAAACATGTTAAAAAAAATCAAGTCAGAGTTTATTTTTACAGCCTGTTCAAAGTGCAGTGTTAAAGGTGGGGTAGAAAACATCAACAAAAACAACAAAACGGAACTCCAATCCAAAAAAAAAAAAAAAATCACACAATTTAAAGACTTTAAAAATCAAGATGTCCTGCTCAGCTAGAAGTAAAAACAAATTGGTTTTATGCAAGAATTTAAAATGAGCTCCTCAGCAGTTTACATCTGGACATTTTGAACCTTTGGCTTGCATTAAATTTGGGAACAATCAATATRTTACCTGTTGTGGATAGCTCTTTGAAGCTGGCTGTGGCATATCCTTGTGCACACATTTCTACCCAGACGACCAAGAAATGATAACTGACTTCAGCATTTAGGTTCATAAACCTTTTGAATGAGTAGTTATGAAACTTTAGGAATTAGTTACGACAACTGCAATCCACTTTGGTCCTCCTCACTTGGACTAGCCATTAGCTCATCAATCCTAACAGACTTTAACTCTTATGTCTCCAGACTGAGGTTGTTTAAAGAGCTGTCTGCAAAATCTGTCATGCAGGGTTTTATTTATTACAACAGGTCAAATGTTTATAACCTTTCCATTGAACCCTACTTTAAACTGTCCAAAATATCCATTCAGGAAACAGATTTATTTTTAATTTTCACCTTGTTTAAAAGATCTGGCTACAGATTTTTTATGAATTCAGTACTGATAATATCATTTTAAACAATACCTTATTAATTTTTGATATACTGTATCTTAAAGGGATCCATGATTAGTTGTAACATTAGACTTCATTTGATAAACATTTATTTTAACTGTAAAATAAAGACTGTAAAAATACAGGAGGCTGTTTAGTTTAGTAAATTTTTAAAAATATATTTTAACACAGATGGAGCCATTTTATTTACACGCAAAGCATTCTGGGTAAATGATGACGTGGATAGGTCCTCGGTGTGAGGCTGCTAGCGAGCTATATCCACCCTGAAGGTTAATCTTAGACAATATCTGATGATCGACACTTTTAAATGAAACCAGAGAGCGTTGACAGAGAGGAGAAGGTAGAAATGACTCAGCCTGTAACTGAAAATATAGATGGAGGACAACAGTCATGGAAGAAGAACCTCAGCTTAGCCTGTTAGCTTTAGCATTAACCCCGATGCTATCACCATATGCAGTACAGGTTCTGGTCATAAAATTAGAATATCATGAAAAAGTAGATTTATTTCAGTAATTC